ATGTTCTGTCCGGGTTTTATTCATCAGTCAGTCAATATACTGGCAGAGCCAAACTACGTTTAAATGATAACTGACGGGTATAATTGCTAGAACGAGATTTCCGAATGTATCTGATGGGTTCAAAATGCCGTTTCAAGTAACGACGATTTTCACAGTAATAAATTATTTAGGAACGGTAAAACAAAATGTTTTGGAGATTTTTCTTCATAACCAATTTTTATTCTGATGTTTAGCTATCGGGGTGGCTTAGTGAGGTAAAATTTCTACACTCCCTCGTCTTGCATTCCAAACAAGAATATTTTTTACACACTCAAACTTTTTTACACACTCAATCCTCAAACTCTTAATCCATAAGAGGCCGTTAACACACTTGTAACGCCTCTGGTGTTCCAGGTGTCCATGGGCGACGCCGATTGCTTGCCATCAGGTGATCCGTCTGCTCGTTTACCGGCTTATGACATAAAAAATAATACACTAAGTTAAAAAAAATTGACTACAACCCCACGTTTTTTGAAGTAAGTTAATTAATATACTAAAACTTTCTCCTAAGTATAACAAACACTTTTATGAAAATCGCAACAAAATCGGTTCAACAAATCGTCAGATAATTGCACTCATACATACACACAGTTCAAACTGAAATCCTCCTTTTTTAACTGACTTCAAAAAAAGGAGGAGGTTCTCAATTCGGCCGTATACTTATATGTTTTTTTTAAATCGGTAAAAAGCATTACGTACGTATATTCTAAAGCATGTTTTAATGTGTAAATAATGGCCAATGATGTTAAAGTATAAGACAATAATTGTATAACACGACGAGATATAATTTTATTAACTCGAGGGTTGCACTCAGCGGCGCTGGCAATGGACTGGCTGCTTTTATTCTTTCCAGCTGCGTCTGATATACAACCTTCAACGATAAATGTTAACAGTCTGTTTATTTTCACAATTTTTCTTGCCTTTTCACTTCCCTGCTCTAGATTCTCGTTCTTTATGACATAATTTGCATAAAACAGTGCCGTTATTTGATATTATACTAAGTACTGTAACTTAGTAAAATGTGAAGCTAGGATTTGTTTTTAAAAGAAATATATATAGGTACATATGGTGACTGCATGATAGCCAGAAATCACACAGTCGAAACTGCTAGTTATCAGTATCTGAAATTGAAGTGAGTAAATACGATACGTAGCTTAGGTACATATGTGAAATGATCTATGTAGTAGCACACTTAATGTACTCCAAGATTTAATCTGTCAAACACCAAGCGGTCACCGGTGACCGCGACCTATTGTTCTTTAATTGTGTCTATAAAACCGGTACTCGACGAGTTAAAAGCAAAGCTGTAAAACAATAAGCCCTTATTACCTCAGCACAAGATTAACAAATAATTACCTCTACAATGCAAACTGCACCCCTATATTTTTCAACTAGCTACTTCCGCGCGGTTTCACACGCTTTGCTCATTGCTATTGGTCGTAGCTTAATGTTTTATAGCCTGTAGCCATCGTCGATAAATGCGCTATCCAACACAAAAAGAATTATTCAAATCAGACTTGTAGTTACGGAGATTAGCGCGTTTAAACGAACAAACAAAAAAACCAACTCTTCCGCTTTCTATAAGAGTATAAGATGTAATGGGGATGATGACAGGGTATGAAAATTAAAAATATAATTAGTCCGTAAGTTAGGTAATGAAAAAATATTAGACACGTATTTTTTTATTTTGTCGTATAATAAAACAATACTTAGATAAAACGAATCAAAGTTTAGGAGTGGGGGCTAAAACGTCATTCCTTAGTATAAAATGTACTGAGAAGTGACGTCACGCGACATTTCAAATCAATATATCTTCGAAACTATTCGTTTCTGTGAGAAAATAAAAAATACGTGTCTAATGTTTTTAAATAATCTATCAGACGGACATTAAAATAAAAATTAGTCGTCTACCCCATTATCTCATTGGTCACTAACAGTAACATATTTATTTTTACATTTCCCCGTATCACTCCAGCATTTCCAAATAGCATAACTATCTCAATAGAGACTGCCTCGTTGGCCGAGTAGTCGCCGGCCGAGTAGTAGTAGGGTTGTATTACCGGATCTGGCAAAGCATCCCTAGGATTTAAAAAAAAATCTCAGTTGTAGCACGGAGTCTGAAATTGTACCCGGTATATGGCAATAGGCTCACCCTCTATTACATGGGACTCATAACATAAATGGTGAAAAGTGAGTGTTACATTGAACAGTGGTATTAAGTGCCGTACTCAGCACCACTGCCTACCCCTTCGGGGATAAAAGGCGTGATGTTATGTTATGTATTTCAATAGAGATGAATAGATACCTTTAAACGCTAACACGATTATTGTCAAAACTATTACAACACAGACTCTAAAATTGACTCAACTCAACTATCAATCATTCCATTTGTGAAGCTGTTCAGATGTCAATAGCTGTTCAGAGAAAAAAACAACATTAGAAGTTAAGTTTTTTATACCTACTTATTTAACGTAAAAACTGTTTCAAAGTAAGTAAGTAGCTCACATGAACATGAACATAGACTTAAGATTGATCGGCAAAAAATCAATGAAACGATAAAAGAAAACTTGACATCATACTAAAATTATACTGATTAGATTTTAGTACCTACCTTTTGCCTTTGACAAGAAAACGTCACTAGTTTCTTTAGCCTTGCTCTTGCTAAACAATTTTTTCGAGATTATTTAGTCCTTGCGCAAAATCATATCTGATATTTATATCTGATCCATCTCGTATTTCACTTACGTAACTATTTGTCCTGTTCCCTAAAGTAGGTACGTGATTAATTAAAATTGATTGAATGGATTACCCTATTGATGTAATTGGGTCTCGCGAGGGGATTCGGATCGGGTAAATGTTTTCTGGGGATTACCTTTTTCCAAAGTTTTCAATATTGCAAGTGAGACGAATTAATGATACAAAATATTTTGATAGCAGAACTGTTGGATTTCTCATAATATACCAAACTAGCTGTTGCCTCCGACTTCGTCCGGGTAGATTATGAATTCTAGAACATAACTTTTGTTATGTTACAATTTTCCAAAATAGAAGTAGCCTATGTGACTCCATAGTACATCAGCTACCTGCAAATAAAGGTATTGCAAAATCTGTCCAGCCATTCCAAAGAATAGCCTGTACGAACAGACAGACAGACAGACAGACAGCCAGACAGACAAAATTATAATTTTGGTATGTGTATCGTAGGTATGTTCATACGCATGTAATAAAAAGCGGTTATTATAATATTACAAACAGACACTCCAATATTATTTATCTGTATAGATTAAGACAAAACACAAGATGAATTTACTAGGGATTGTGTTTAGTGACATTTGTCACTATACACAATCTCTGGTCTTCTAGCCGGTATGGAAAGAGTTTACTAAAGGACTAGACTATCCATACAGACACTGGGCAGCATCGTTCTTTTACAAACCTGATCTTTTTAAGCTGCGACGTACAACCCGCTTGTCAAGCGGGAAGATTACGGCAAATCGCTCTTTTGTAAAAGACGTACACATATGCACCGTGTAATCTATTTGGTTTTCGTCCCACGGCAAAACAACATTGTCATAACAACACAACACACTATAACATTGTCATAAGGACTTTTTTCGATGTATACCTCTAGTATAAGTAAAAACGAAAAGATAAAGATGGTCATCTTTTTTTAGTTTAAAAAAGAACATGTAAATTCGCACATGAAACACTTGGTGTGTAAATAGACACTATTCGCAACACGTGCCACACGACGTGAAACACCTCGTCAAGAATTACATGGAGCAATGTTTTGTTTATGTACTATGAGTTCGTGTGCGTTTTTGATGTTTACTTTTTGCTATGGTTCACCAGTTAGTTATTTTTAGTTCTAAACATTTTATTTCTTTATAAAACTGTTGTACTACCAAGACAGAACTATTTTACTTCGGGACGAAAACGAAATAGATTTCACGGTGTAGTTCCGCAGTGGACCCTCATATGCTGCTGATAAAGACATGGACGTGATATCACATTATAATAATTAAATTAGTTAGAACTTATTTCTGTGTTAGTTAAATACAGAATTATAAATGATACTATCTAGCTGTCAGTTACTCAGTCCTTTGTGAGTCTTACCCGAGATTATAACGCTTTACGAATTAATTATTAAAGGCTGATTATTGCGTAAGCCTATTATGAGTTTCATAATTGTTATATACCAAATCAAAACTAGAGAAAAGCGAATTAGCAATGTCTAGTTCTTTGGAGAACTGCAAGTTACGTAACGTTTCGCTTTTAAACCCCAGAGTGGTAGGCAAAATGGAACTTATAAAATGTAACATCCACTTTTTGCCAGCTATATATCAAGCCCTATTTAACACAGCGAGCCTGTCATATACCATACAATTCACAGGCATGTCATGTAAAAAATAAATGGAAAGAATATGAACGATACAAGTTCAACCGTAACTTCAATAGTTTATTATCAGGGCAAGAGTGAATGCCCTTGGCCTATCCTATTCACAACACAATGTCTCCACTGCGTTTATGTGTGAGTGACCTTTGGACAAAGATGTATATATGTAGCTAATTCAGTACGTTTATGTATTAACAACGCTTATTTATGATCGGACAATTTGTCCCATTCATATTCCTTTTGTTGTCATACAAATAAAGGATTTGTGTAGAGAGGAAAATTTGACAGTTTTCACGGCCACTGTCTTTAAGTTGATTTTGGATGTTTTGACTACAGTTATTGAGATAAAGTTAGAACTACATACTTATAGGTATGGAATGTAATATTTTTCACTACTACTAACAGAATAAAGGTGATTGAAACTTGTATAAACTTTGATCCATACCTCTACTTTCTAAGATCTAAACAAATCAACACTTTCATTAAAACTTAATACATTTTAGAGGTATATACTATTAAAGCGATTTGTCTGAGATTAATACTTATTTACTTCTCTCATTTGCAGGCCTCGGCCCACATCATGCCAAGCCAACGCGTCATGGTCCGTCGAGTCACCAGAAGGTAACATGCTAACTGCGAATGCCTAGCGAATTTGCCTCGAGCGAAAGGCCGGCCGAACCCTTCTACAAATATATGTGTCAGCTACGCGGTACAAAGGCTATTTTCTAAGTGATTTGCTGAAGCAATCATTAGGCCTTGAAAAAGCATTATGATCATTTATCAACAAGTATTATGACTGTAACCAATTTCACATAATAGTTTCAAAAATATGTGCTGTTAATACATGCTTTTACCTTCTGCTGACAAACTCTAGCAATTTTGTCATCAGTTTCTAAGTTATTATTGTTTACAGTTCACCAGACTCTGATGACACCCTGCCCGGCGATGAGAGTGAAGAATACCGTGACGATGCTTTCTTGGTCAGCTCCAACCCTGAAAATAACTACTACGGTATGTAGTTTATCAATCAACCCTTTATTACACGCTATTGCTGCAAAATGGTACCTTATCTCTTGTTACTTATGAAATACTTTTGCTATGCGATTTATTGGATTCTTTACTGTTACTGTTTCTTATTTATAGTATTATTATGTGGTGTTAAGGTTAATAATTGTACAAGAGTACCTGCTTGTGAAATGACGTCGGCAGCGGTTCTCTTATATATTTTTCATCATCTTACGTATTTTTGAACAGTTGAAATCTTTTTACTTTTAATTTCGTATTTGTTCGGACGTAACAGTTTGATTTTCCACTGGTAAATGACATAGTTTGGGCTATTTCAGTTGGTAGCAAATATCAAAATGTAATTCTTCATGTTCGTTTTTACATACATATATATTTTAGCGACGAAAACATAATTTACATTCCTCTTTCGTTACTTGAAGGTTTCGATGAAATCAGTGGCAACGATGTCTTACAACAGCTACCTGTACGTAAGCCACGTTCGCATAATAACTCGATTCAAGTATATCTAAGTGGGTACCTACAAAATTTTCATCCGTCCGTTTCATCCACATTTAATTTCCCCTGTGATACGAAAAAGAAAATGAACGTAGATATTTGCCCTCAGAATAAATCGTGTTTGAATACGCCAATACATCGGTATTAGGTCGTACATCCACAGTGTATGGATAAGACCTAAGTAAAAATATTTATAATTCGGACCTTTTATAATGTCAATAGTTTGATAACATAACCAACCGTGTAACTTCTTCAATAGATTCGATTTTATCACAAACTTAAAAAGACAAAGTTCTTTGGAATGAAAGAGCTGGTATGAAATAGTTTGAATAATCAGTTATTATTTATAGCTAGGAGTTTTTGGTCATCCAGAAATGTTAAACTATCGTGATCTATATGCAGTTGGCGCCGGATCTTCAGGAAATTCCAGCTTCTGCAGCCGATTCTTCACCGCATTGGGCCGTCAACTGCACTCCATGAGCTACCTGTGCCCTGGTCTCTTCCCCTGGGTTGATTGTGGACCTGCTACCGATCTGAGTGGTAAGTTACTTGTTATTTTCAATTTCGTTTAGATTAGACCAACTGATCGAGACACATATATGTATAATTTACAAAATTCTGTTTTGTTCCATATGGTCGTTTTCCTGTATCATCATAAATAAATATTTTATATTCACATAACACTCAGAAATCTTATCCATATGCGTAATTTATAACTTTATTATTTAACAGGATTGTTCGTCATCAAGGCAGTAGGAGTCATGTATCTGCTGATCATCTGTTTCGACATGTTTGCTGCTTTCGGAAGCCCTGGAACCTCCACTTTCACCAACGTTTCGATGTTACTGCTCGTTTTTGGAATTTTTGCTATCCTTCTGATGATCTCCCGACGCCCACAGAACCGGTAAGACATTTTATGACAAGACAATCTCAAATACAAGAATGCTTTGTATTTGTAGTTAGGTACTTATGTGTCTATTAGATTTTTAGATAATTAAAAAAACAGTTTCTACAAAATGTATTTGAGTAGAAGTTGGAACATAAATAAAAGAATTATGTAACGTCAGCCTCGGTGATCAACTTTTGAAAATGAAAAAAGATATTATTTTTTCCTGTCCTCTGTGCCTACCTTTATCTACTAAATTAATTTTGATACTTATAATGAAAATCTTCATCAAAAATGTTCCAGTGTTGCCCTGATCTACACTACACCCGGACTGCCCTTCGTGCCAACCATCGCTATCATCGTTAACATTTACTTGATTCTGAACCTCTCTTACTTGACCCTGGTACGATTCACGTTTTGGATGGCTATTGGTAAGTTATTTGTTTCATTCTTATAAACATAATTACGTTATTAAGTCAAAACATTACCTTCATACGTCTTTGTAAGTTTCTGAACCGTACAGTATCATAAATATCAAGTATTAAGGTAGTGGCTCAAATTCGTAAATTAGCAGTATTAAAAGGCAAATTTAAAAAACATTAAGCCAAGCTTTGTGGTTTGCACATGCTACCATTTTAGCAACTACACGCACAGCGTTCAGTATACAAGTTGGCATGCACTAGTAAAACTGTGGTCAAGGCTGCACGTGTGGTAGGCGCCTTACGGACAGGTTCGATATGCACTGCAGTGTCAATTGCTTTTCATATCAAATAGGATTGTAATTTTGGAAAAAGATACAAAGTTCTAACAATGAAACGATTTTTTCAGGCTTAGTGGTATACTTCAAGTACGGCATTATTAACTCGTCAATGGAGAAGAAGGACTCTGATGATACTGTCGAGGTCCCACCGATCCCTAACCCTCTGGACCGCACCACGATCCCTCCTCCCTCCCCCCACCAATCACGACCAACCGGCGACCGAAATATCTTTGAAGGAGATGGAAACGAAGGACTGTATGGAAACTTGGAGTAAGTTTAGAGACACATTTTTATTTTGAACCTATTGTAGATATGTTATGCTAGAAAATCATTGTAATAGTGTCTTCTATAATAGTGTGTATTATTTAATTTATTTAAAAATTGTGGCTAACTTATTGAGAGCAACCGTTTTCCTGTCTCTAAAAACCATCATCAGCAATTGCTGAAGCTAAAATTAGTATCAGTGGCTAAATTTACTTTTTTAGTTTTTTAAAAAAGAACTGTAATTCTTGTGTCGTGGGTGCGTTTATAAACATACAAGTTCACACAAGGTACCCAGACCGGAACCACAATCTGTGGATCACAGAAAGACTTATGCCGTGCGGAATTCGAACCCGTGACACTTTGCGTGGCAGCCAGTTGCCTCTGGAATCTTATCTGAATTGAATGAACGACATTAGCAAACAAATTATTGAACAAGTAACCTCTCGCTCAGTATACTAGCCATCCTGGCGATAAATTCACTCACGGTGCTCCCATTGCAATCGAGTTTGTATAAAGTATGTATAAATCCACTAAATTAAACCATGCACACTAATTCACAATTTATTGGAGGTACTAGCATAAAACTAAAATTAATTTGGAATGCGAAAAACACTTCTAAAACGTATCACTTCATCACAATATTCTTAAAAAGTTACCAAGTAGGTAGATTAAATAGAACATTTAATTTATTTAGATTAGAAAATTTCCAAATCTTCCGCACCTGTTCTACCAAATGTCACCATTTTCCAGGTATAATTCTTTGCTAACATGGCATGAGTCGAACTTACCACCTGTGGCCTCCTCTAGCGGCTTTTCAACTCCATCATCCGGGAATCGAATGCAAACTACTTATAATCCAACCACCACCTATCGTCAAGCGGAGACACGGTAAGTCCTGCACTGAACAACTATCAAGCTCGTATAAAACAGGATCCTTTAACTCGTGGTTTGCCGGGACATAGATATATTCGAGATACGATGTATTGTGTCTCATGCAGATAAGACATTAAACTAATTGTCATTTTCAATCACGACATTTTTGTCATCCGCTTTAGAACCTTTGCATGTAGTTAAAAAAATTAATTTAAGCTTAGGGCTTTTCAAACGTCTTTTAGAATAAATCAATCAATATCATGAATAATTTTATTATCTATGAAAAATTAATAAATCAAACTAATAATTAATATGTTACGTAAAATTATATTTTAATATTAAGGTAGCACACAATTTTCATAGTATTTTTTTTATGGCATAAACCGGTAAACGAGCAGACGGATCACCTGATGGTAAGCAATCGGTGTCGCCCATGGACACCTGGAACACCAGAGGCGTTACAGATGCGTTACCGGCCTTTTGGCGATGAGGAGTTTGAGGATCGTTGGGGATTCAGGAATTGGGGAGATTGGGGAAGGGGAGGGTAATTGGGCCTCCGGTAACCTCACTTACACGACGAAATACAACGCAAGCGTTGCTTCACGTCTGTTTTCTGTGAGGCCATGGTATCACTCCGGCCGAGCCGGTCCATTCGTGCCGAACCATGGCTCTCCCACACTTAAAACAGTATGCTATACAAAAGACATTTTTATTCATAAAAGTGTTTTGTACAAGAACTAAAACAAACCCATTACAATTACAGTTATGATGTGGACACTAACACGACCACCACTGCACTTGGCCGACCACCTTGGGCTTACCCGGGTGCTGACATCGCAATCTATGGAAATTGGGAGGACTAAATACCACCGTCAACGACTGTCACCAATCATACCATACCAGACTGAGCGCACGATTAGGCTTTTTCCATATTTAACTCCCTATTAAATATATTATTCGTTTTATACAAAATTGACATATGTATTATGTCTGTATACTTGTTTTTATTTAAGGTTTTAAAAATCGAAGGCGTGATCATCTTTAGGACTAAACAGCATTGTTCCTGTACATTGTGATACATAAATACTCTACTAAGGCATCTCACATCTGTATGCAACTCAAAATCAGCCTTATCACAATACAAGCTAAGATTTAAAGCCGTTTGATTTAAGTCATTACTACGTTAACCCCATTTTATGTACATATTTACTGACTTATATATACTTCTTGAGCATATACTGTAGCCATATTTATAGTAGTGTTATACCTAGCTTATATATTTCTATTAACCTCTTATAATATACATGTATCAGTATTATATGTAGTTTATATACTGTTTTAATGATTTTAACTAAGACCCCGACTCTTAGCAAATACCTGGCGATAAAATACAATGCAACATAAGATAACAACATAGGTACCTACTTATTAAAAACATAATTACCTAGCATGATTTTTACCATAATATTCCATAATATGTGAGAGTACAGCACTATATTCCACGACACGGAGTACGAGGGTCTATTTCATGTTATATATATTTGCTAATAAATATTCTAATATTATATAATAATATCTAAACATATCACAAATGAATTTTTAATATATTTATTTATTGTTACCCAACATTTTTCTCCTGTTAACATTTTTAGTAGTTGTACCTACCTACAGATTGTGGTACCTATTTTGTAAACTATATTGTTTTTAGTTAAATAACTAACGGTACCTAACTTCATTATTTTTATATCAATTTTCTCCTGTTAGTATTTTAAAGCAGCTCAAATGTTGAATATTTATATCGTATCTATTTACCTAATCATTGTTTATTTTTTTACATTAATTTGAACGTCAAGCACAGTACAACAATAGAACTTCAATGCAACAACTTTGAAGGCCTCTCATATTGCGATAAACTATAAAAACTGAAGTATTAACTCGTACACACATGGTGTGGAGTAACTTCAAGCAACAATAAAAGGAGCGGGTCTCTCATCCCGTGGAATTTAAAATCATCTGTGGTCCAATATTTGCAACCCGCGCCAAATATCGTGTATTCCACGTTCATAAAAGATTTAAAGTTGGTTTTAATCCAATTTGTTTAATTTTACCCTGATATTTAATTATATTTAATTTTTTTCTCTAAAAATATTATTAAAAATGTGATATTTTAAGTAATGTTTCAACTATAAACTTAATATCTACGTATATTATTAGAACTTTTCAGTAATATGTATGTATGTATTGTTTTATGTTATTATATCATTTAGGCTATAACCTATTTTTAGAAGATATTGCATTGTAATATACTTACATTTTCAAATGTTTGCACTCTCCAACGGCCAGAGAAGATACGGAACTGTTCGTGGTCTAACACTACCACTTTTGGAAAGTGTAAATGTTGCCTACTGTAGATAAATTATTTATAAGTAGGTCTCAAGTATTTCAGTACTTTGTGTATTACTCGCTTCTTACATATTTTTAAAATTCTGCATTTAAAACGAACCAAACACTAGTTAAATATGATTTAAACAAATCAACTAAACAAACGCTGTAACTGTTTATATTGATTGCGCAAAATTGAAACTATGATTTTTATACTAGGCATTTTGTCAGAGGGCAAAATTCCTTTTTGGAAGGCAAAATTATGATAACAATTGGTAAGGCCTTAATAATAAATTTGTTGATGTTGATAAATAACTAGTAATTGTTGGCTTTTTCAAGGCGACGTATACGGCGTCTTGAAATAAATTGGTTTGTAATAATTGTTAAAGGGTCTGCTAACAGCTAACTGATGAGTTCTGACAATGAATTAGTGTTCTGTTCATACTCTTCCCATAAAAAACGGGAAAAACTGATAATTGGACTTGACAATATGAATGATCTCAGCCAGCACCTGATCTATTTACATTATATGCGCGACGTAAGCCTAAGACTCCAGCCAGTCCTGGGCGAGCCCCAAAAGTCTGAGGACACTTGGCTTACTTAGAATGAGCATGAGACAGCATTCTTCGACAACAGTGTCTCCGTATCAGCACGTCAGACACAACATAATATGACTCATAGTATCTGAACATTTAAGACAATATTGCTTCGAAACGCGATCTGCGAAGCGTTTGTGAATCTGTCTCACGCCCATTCTAGCCGGGACTACAACACCTACGTCCCGTGACTAAAATAGAGATGATACTAAATAATACTCTCTTCTAATATAATAGTATTAAGGTATGTTCTGTGTTAACATACACGGTGTATAACAATATCGGTTAGTATTAATGTGCTCCTTCTATCAGACACATTATAATTAACTTTCAAAGTCTATGGCTGTGTGGTGGCTGGAACTTTAAGTAGATCTAAGTCTACTTAAACAGGAGAGGAAAAAATACTTTACTCCTTTGTTAAAAGCCTGTTACATCAAGCTAATTCTGCATGAATATCACCAGAATTGCAACTGCTTTTGAATTAGCTAGGCAATCCACAACATCAATGGAAGATGTTCCGGCCATTCCAAAGCCAACGGCCATGTTTATATTAATTTCAGTTCATTACAAACATGATTACTGTGTCCAGAAATATTTTGGATTCGCTAACAAAATTACAACGCTCAAAATTACTTTTATATTATGTTATTTACATAGATAGTTCTTGCAATTTTTAATTATAAATTGTTGATATGAAGGATGTAGCTGTAAGTCTTAATTAAACGATGTTATTAAGGATCTTTAGATAAGTACTAAAATTGTAAGCGTAGGACAGACTGTGTGGAAACGTAGTTGGACACTTTGGTTACACGATGACTCCCGGAACTATGAGACTAGTCATTCCATCACTTCGTGTTTCTGATGGACAACAATGTATTTGAACTTACGATACCAACTAGAACTCTGACACTAATAAACATTCGTCTTGAATTTACTTCAACCAGCTAACATTGTAATTCGGGAGATCACGTGTTTATAACAACGAGCATCTACTTCAAAAGACAGATCAAGAAATAGTTTGCAAATAACTAAAATGCTATTATTACTTGTCAAAAATCTATCACACCACAGTCACAGACACATTTCATAAGACTTTCCAAATGTCCAACATACAATACACACAGTTTGCTCTAAGCTTTAAAATACATTGAAAGGTTTACATTGAAGGCACGGGGACAGTGGAGCTGGTAAAAAACGGTTTAGTAGCAAGATTTTAGTTCGTTAATAAGGTTAGTTTCCCTTAGCCTTGAGTGGAGATCGGTGTATTTTAAAGTCCGAAATCGATGTCCCCATGTAATCATTCCATGCACTGCTATGTTTTAAATGTTGGTTCTGCCAGCCGTGCGTATTTATTATACGGTGGCAGAATCGAGCGAGAATATTGGCTGGAGGGTTGTTACCTACCAAGTACTCATGAATGCAACTGCTATATTCATTACATAATGGCAGTGGCATATTACCAATGAGAACAGACTTCAGAGTCTAACCGGACACTTTAGTAATAAGCTCTGCGCTACGTTGTCCCAATCGTCGATGAAAGATATTAAGGTATTTTTATACCTTAATAAAACACTAACGATCAGTGACGGACCATTATTTATATTAATGAAAACTCTTGGACATAGACAGATGTCTATAGAGAGCAAATTACTTTACGACGCCCAAAAACCTTCAGTACAATATTCGCGCTCCGTAGTTATCCAATACAAACTGATAATATTTAGCTTTTCCATACATCGTGTTGCAAGTGAGCTCACTTCACCTTGGCAGGCAGCGTTATGTATAAACTAGTCCGTTAGCCCAGGCTTTCATTGAGTCTTAAATATTTGCTCACACGTTTCATGCAACACACGAGTAGCTAATAGAGCTATATGTACTGAAATAATACATCTTTTGGAAACACATCTAACCAATTGTATTCCATGGTCTAAGCTAAATATTGTCACATTGTATTTTGGTTTGCAATGCTTAACATTCCTGTTTTAGAATACATAACTAGGTGTCATTAGTTTATTTGCCGTATTAGAATCTACGATCCGTTAATGTTATTTTTAGTTTTTTAAGAATGTATTAATGTTAAGTTTCTTCTTAGGTAATTTATTTGTTATATTGGTTTATATTGATTTGTACTATTTGACGACTATAGTGTGTTTCACTTTTCAAAGACTATACTTTGGATTGCATAGATTGTTGATAAACCTTGTCATCGTTTGACATGCCATAGTCGTTGAATATTTATTGCACTCTTCAGTATTATTTTATATGTTAATTTATCTGTTTCTGCTGTCGCCGATCTGGAGCGAAGCAGCGCCGGCTATCGTGATAGTTGTCATCAATAAGCAAGGCTCTAAAAGAGAACGTTGGCGATATATGGTATAGATACGTGTATGGTTGTTTCAAACGATTCATCACGCATTAGAGCAATTGATAGAAGAATAGGACGGAGAGTTGTTAAGTTAATACGCGGGAAGTATTAGAAAAATGATTTTAAATGCCAAACAATGTATTTAATCTCTGCGATTAAATCTATAAGTATAACTAGGAAGTACCTATGGCAATCTTAGTGAATTAAAAGATGTTGGACCAATGGTTTAGCCGGCACGCTGCTTCGCTTCGGAAACAATTTATGTGATATGTAAACTTAGTTTAACTATAATCGATCGTAATAAAATGTTAATAAATCAATTATTTGTGTTTTATTTGTAGTTGTCTAGTCCTTAAATACCTACACATAACTGTTAAGGGTAAAGTCTATACCTACTTATTTACAAAAATATAATATTGTTAATATTTTTGTTTAATATTTCTTGATTTGCTAAATAAATCTGAAAAAAAGAAACCAATTACTTTTCATTAGTAATTTATTTTTTTATGAATGGTTTATTGCATTAAAAAGTCGATTTACTTTTTATTTAGACAAAAACTAAAGTTTTGTGTAATATGCGTGTAGTAATTGTGAAGGATATGGAGAAATGAATTAAAGACAAGACCATAAGTATGAGCATTTGCAGAATAAATATTTTAATGAAATTGCATACTTACAATAAGATCTGACTTGGCTCTTGTGCCACCCAGGCGCTCAGTGTAAAAGTGACCGCACGTAATATAGCAGATATATTTATCCGCAATAGGTACAAATAAAATGAAACAAACGTGATGACGAATCAAATTTTTATTTCAAGTCCTCATAATGCGTATCATGTGCGCTTCACCTCTCAAACAAATAACACATAAACATTAGGAAGAAATGTATGTGTTATAGCTTTTGGAACTACGTATTATATACACAAAAGTGGTTTAGACTTTATGTAATCAAAAAAATTCATCCCAACTATACAATAATGTCGCTACAAAATATTTGTTTGAATTTAATACAACATTTATAACAGTTTATCTTTACTACAACGTTACTCTACTCATAAATTAATAACACAATTTATAATACTTACAGGAAGTACATGATTTTGTTTGTTAGTAACATATCGAATTACCAATCTATCATTACATTACGCGTAATTTTATCCAAAAATATATGAAAACTTACGTACCTAAGATGAGAAAACTAATTTGTTAATTCACTTTGCCAAAACATAATTTAGATAAAACTTAAAAAGAAACAATAAGGAATACCACGACGTTACGATTTTTGGCGTAGCTTTACGTCAAACTTCTTGAAGTTGATCTACTACTCTCAATTTTCGAATAATTACTATCAAACAAAAATATTATAAATTATAAACTAAATAGCGTTAGTTTGGCGGATACGTTTGTGTAGGGGAGAGTACATTTAATGGGGGTCTATGGTAGACGAACCGAGCACGAGCAGAGCCGTTTTCGGCTGCGTCGTTCGCGGAGTTAAGTGTAGACGTACAACGAACCTACAGCTACGTCTACGCTAGGAGAGCCAATCACGATCGGGGCACGAGGCGAACACGACAGACACGGACAGAGATCGCACTGTTTTCCGCAGTGAGCTCGCGGCTCTTGGTGAATACGAATGATATTAATAATATCACAGCAGCCGCTACTGTTGCAGCGGTTATTATGGCGGTGGTCAGTAAAAATAGGAAATGGCCAATACGATGAGGATCTACAAATCTATATAAAATGAAAACCAATCAACAAAATTTTGGATATTTATAACCATTTTGAGAATATTGAGAATTTACGAACGTTCCTCGAATGACATCAAGGAACTTTGAGAATCTACTACAATCAATTGGACCGCACAAAACAAAATACCAAATTTCAAGAGGCTATATCCATTAAACAGAGGTCTATCTTCGGTCCACGATTCCAGGTTCCATGATGTTCGTGCTCGGCTCTCCTAGCTGAGATGCAGCATTAGACAACTTTCTGCACACTACTTACTATTACATTTAAATAGTAAAGTGTGATTACTTTTGCTAACATTTATATAAGTTCTAATTGAGTATGGACTATAATATGAATTGTCTTAATGTTACATGATAAACACGTGATGTTACTATAAATAATCCGTCTATTCATGCTCAGTGGCTAGCAACGAACGCATACTGTTGTATATATAAAAAATATGGATAACAAGAAACAAATTTTGTTTTGGCTATTTTTATAGGTACTGTGTTTGACCAGGTACCGAGAGAAAGCACAGGTATACTGTGCATAACCACTTAAATTAGAGACAAGGTGAAGTAGAGAACGGAATTTTCTGATATTCAGATTTTAAATGTGATGTAGTAAAGAGTAAATTACACATAGATGAAAATTTCGTTCTCTAGGGATGATACAAATACCTAAAACAGATGTAGCACACGTCACATGTAGATAATTCACAATGTTTATAATCTAAACCATACATCTACGGCGAGCTTGCGTTACAACGCCGATCAATGCCAGTTTAATATTGGAGGAACACGAAATGATAACACAAAATTATACAAACAATTACGGAATATACACATAAATATCATATAAAAAGTGGAATTGAAGAAAAAGAAATATCAAAAACACTTTTAATTTAAATCAAAATATTCAGCTTTTCAAGTATTCACAACCAACTGATGAAAAATGATCGATATTTTAACTGTAGTGATAAAATATTGTTTTACTGACACCAATAATGTAACAATATTACTGATGATTGCGATCCAAAATGTGAAGAAGCGGTAACAATATACCATAGGAGAAGTAAACACCTTCGAAGCCAACTAATCTTTATAAAAAACACAAAGCTAACTATTCTGAATGCATTTCAATTTGCCTCCGAATAAATATTTGAATTGACATGGAGGCAGTTTTACAAGCGTATATTTACTATAAAAATGTGGAATTATTAATTTAAATTTGGAAAACCACTGAATGAGAAACATTTCTTTGCGTACTTGATAATTCAATACAATGTCTATTGTTTTTTTACCGACTTGAAAAAATGAGGTTATCAGCTTGTATTTATGTTTGTACGCGATCTCGGGATTGGTTGAACGTAGTAGTATATGAAAGAATTATGTATCATTTAAAGCACAAAAATCAGGTACTTTCTTTTCCTCTGGTTTCATATTTATGATATGTATCTGATTGAACTATAGGAGATCGACCTCCAAATACGCCTCGATTATTTTATCGTTTAATTAGCCATACCATTATTTTATTTCATTCAGTTTCAAACAAATAATCGAGACGTAAAAAGTGATCTATTATTTGCTTATATTATAAAACTGAACAATTTTGGACGAACCATCAGTAAAAATGGTCACATTATTGGGAACTAGGCCTTTAGAACCAAGATCAAAATTATATCGCCATTTACATAGGTTAGTTGCTATTGCTAAGAAAATGGAAATGCAGACTTAAATAAAACCGCGCTCGCGTAACGCCAGCTCTAAAACTAAGAAACTCATCAAGAAAGCACATTACACCTTACGGATCTTGGGACGCGCTGTTGATGGTCTCCTTGGATCCTCCTGTGTCAGTGTTTGAAGAGTTGGCGGGTTCACTTTCGATCCCGCCTGCAGCTTCGCTAAGACCACTGTCAGTGTCACCACCAACGGCATAGGCCCCATTATCAGCGCTTGAAGTGCCTTCCGAGGCTATATTCTCGTCCTTTTCTTCAATGGACGCGTGTTCATTGCGAAGACTAGTGCCCCCCGCACCGCACTCGCCGGTGGGGCGCAACACAAGGTACATCAATAAATCAGATAGCGATATTATGCCTATCACCTTATCATTCTCGTCTACTACTACCAGACGATGCACCTGGAAAATAAGGCGAAAATATGTTAATAATATAATCAGGTAGGCTATGCCATTATAATATAGGATAATCATTATCTGCCTCGTTGGCCGAATGATCGCAAGTCTGACTACCGAACAAGGGGTCTCGGGTTCGATTCTTGGGTCAGGCAAAATATTATTTACTTAGTTTTTAGGGATTTTTAAAAATTCTCAGTAGTAGCACGGAGGCTGGAATGGTGTCCGGTATATGACAATAGGCTCAACGCCTATTACATGGGACTCATAACATAAATAGTGAAAAGTGGGTGTTACATAGTAGTGACATTAAGAGCCGTAATGTGCACCTCTGCCTACCACTTCGAGGATAAAAGGCGTCATTAAACTGTAAGTAATGTACGTATATAAGTGCCTTTAAATATCTCTATGATTTAACGAGTTTTATTTAAGTTGATATCTTTAGTTCGCACGACTATAAATGCTTAGCTAATTGGAATGATATAAAGGCTTTTATGCAAGATTTAGAAATCTCGTATATATTTTGCTTAACTGCTGGTTGTTGATTCATCTATCTATATCTCTATATATATAATTCTTCTGTGAGTGTGTATGTCACTGAACTTCTCTTAAATGACTGGACCGATTTTGATGATTTTTTTAGATTCACAAATCAGCCAGGCAGATGGCGCTGCAGTCGATGTTTAGGTTATTTATCCTAAACAGCTGAACTAATTTGAATGAATTTTTGTTTATACATTCAAGTGGATATGCAGGACAACGTCTGTTGGGTCCGCTAGTATAATATATAAAAATGAAACCCGTTTCTCGTCACGCCATAACTTGAGAATAGCTGGACGGATTTGGCTGATTTTATTTTTGTTGTGTTTGTTTTTGTCAGGAGAAGGTTCTTATGATAGAAAAAAAAACCAAGAAAATTATGAGAACGGGAGAAAACGGGATTGCGCGTACGAAGTCGCAGGCAGAATGTGTGTAGTAGTCTAATAAACTACTCCTTAAATGTTCTACGTCTTCTCAATCAACACACTGTAACAATGAGCGATTTCCCAAAAGATATCCTAGCTGAACTCACCTCGGCGCGAACAATCCTCTCCATGACGTCAAAGAGGGTCTCATCCAGTGTGCACTTCTGAACTCCCTCGAACCATTCGTTGCGGTGCTCGTTAGCTGTCTTCAAGGACACATCCAGGTTGTTGTATGTCTTCTCAGCTGCCAGATTCTGGAATATTAAATAATTTATGTTAGAAAAGGTCGGATTAATTTCTCTTTTTGTAAGCAAATGCTTTCTACTAATCATGTAATTAAACTACTTCCACAATTGCTGATTCTACTTTTTTTAGTTCCAGTACTCTTAGTTGATATCTGAATGGATTCCACCTTTTTTTATTGAGCTAAGTTATGTATGTCATGATACAAGTTTTATTCTATAGATGTAATGTGACCCCGGAGCCATACCTTGTTCTAGCCTGATCTGTTCTAGAGAGAAAAGCTTCATGAAGTTAAAAAAATCCTTCTGTATAATTCGCTTGTCATATTTTTAAACGATCACTGAGTTTCAGGCACTTAAATTATAGAGCACTCGATAACCCCAACTCCGACTCGAGAACCTCATTAGAAAGGAAATGCGATGTTAAATCATATTATCGCATTTCCCCTACGTACCAGACCGCCGACCACATTATCACATGAGAATATTGCATACGTATATTCTACGAACATAATACACATTGGCAATTAGGTTCACTATCAAAATTAGATAGAGCAACACAGTAACTACAACAACATAGTAACATAATTCGATTTTGTATGACTCGATAGGCGACGTTGCAACCCAATTAATGTAATTTTACAAATAAATTAGATTTATTTAGTTCACCTTGCAGGGCAGGTAGCGTCAGACGTCTACACAAACACAATTATTTACAAATGGTTATTGCATGCTTCCGCGCGATTTTACCCGCTCTGATCGGTTCTTATTGGTGCTAGTGGGATGTTTTGTAGCCTATAGCCTTCCTTTATAAGTGGACTATCCAACAAAAATAGATTTTTTCAAATCGAACTAGTAGTTTCTAAAATTAAAGCGTTCAAACAAACAAACAAACTCTTGCAACTTGTATACGTGTATAATCATAATAGTGGACGGACTTGATGTGAGACAAACATTCACAAAAATCATATTCTTATTTCGAATTCTTACTTATATTATAAATCGGAAAGTGAGTTTGTTTTTTTTTGTTTGTTTCATTTAACGCCGTAACTACTAAACTGATTGCTTTGAAATTTTGCAGACGTAATGTTAGAAGTCCGGATTAAATAATAGGGTACTTTTTATCCCGGAAAAATTTCATATTCCCGAGGAAAAACAAAAGTATTGGTATAGATGGCGCTGTGTGTATTGGTATATGTCACATTGGCTTTTTATCCTTTTGTGACGCGAGCGAAGCCGCGGGTAAAAGCTAGTTTTTATATAAAAAAAAGAAATCAATGGCACCTATGCCTATTTCTTATGTTAAGACCAACATTCAACTGTGTAACATAAAGCCTTAAGATTTATCACGTTAGCAATATATTAAATGAATTGTCTCTTCCGAGATACCAACTAATAAAACGTGTTCGGCAGCAGTCACAAGCCCATTTTTATCGAACGTGCCACAGATGATTTAAAACTAACATCGACACGCGTCAACATAACAGACAGGGTTGTCAAATACACAAAAAAAAAAACAAATTAAAATAAAACTTTTCTGAAAAAATTGACGTGAGTTAGCAAGTAATTATTTGACTAAATATTATACGTACAATGACGTCAAACTTGGCATAGATGTCTTTCAAACGTCCTTCAGAGTCAATGAGTGGCAGTGCGGAAACCCGTCTGTTGACGAATTTGCGCAGTGCATCGATTATGGATGTGTCCTCCGTCGCAGTCTCTATATCGTTGAGCGTGCCTATACGCAGGTCGCGCAGCTTGTTCTGCAGGTACGATGGCTTTGGTAAGTCGTTTATCTGTAATAGAAATATTTTATGCTTAGTTATGGCAATGGTATATGATAGTTAAAGTATTACTGGTATTTTAAATACAAATAACTCAGTAGAAGCACGGAGTCTAGGATTGTGCCCGGTATATGGCAATAGACTCACCCCTTATTACATGGGTCTCATATCATAAATAGTGAAAAGGTATTGTGCAGTGTACAATTGTACAATGGCATTCAGTGCCGTAATGTGTACCTCTGCCTACCCTGTCGGGAATAAAAAGGCGTGATGTTATGTACCATCTGTGGATAAGAGCACTAGTTGTCACATATTCTTAGCACACCTACTTTAAATTATGTTCGAGGAATAATACAGGTAGCGGGGAAGTACTTTCAAAATGATATCATTATTTAGTCTTACTTCAATTTATGCTATTACAGTTTAAAGAGTAGAATAGTTTAAAATAGTTACAAAAGGTTCATCATAGTAGGGGAGCCCACGATGCTAAATTTGGATTTACTTGAGCGTCGTTGGGACCTACTGGATTTTGAAGATATGCTAATAGAAATAAGAAATGGTTTAGTGACAATTTCTTCCACCGGTGGGGGGAGGGGGAATCCACAGATCTTTGAAATGGTTAAGCGTAACTTTTGTTCTAGTGGTTGAGCGTGTCAGATATTGATAGTGTACATGCTCCATGTGTATTTAATAATAAAAAACTCTTAATCTGCCAGTTTGCATGGTGGGGTTGAATGTTCTGGAGAGTACAAACGAGAACTCTTCAAAATCCCCTCTCTTGCAAATCAAGTTGGAATGGACAGATTTTTTAAACGCTCTTCCTTTAGCATGGTATTGACCTACCTTCCCTTAATCTGACGAAAGTGACTTTATTTAGTCAGACTTCTTTTTTAATTTTTAGTCCCCCCCTTCTAATGATCGGATATATGGTGGGTATATTCAACATGACACTAAGTTTTCCCCATATCTGACGCGCTCGAGTAACTACCGAAATCCCTTCATGGGCTCCCCTACTATCATCAATAATTATTAAATTGCATATGGAATTTTATCTACAAGTAATATCCTCGTAAATTCTTAGCCCAAGCTTAATTGGGTACTTGCCAACTAGTCAAATTCTATACTTTTTTCAAACTGTCAAAAACGACAGTTTTCTATGAATTTAGTACGAGATTGTGTATTGTGACGTCGCGTTTTTTAGCGTCAAACAGCATACTTATTTCTTAAAAATTTGCTGGAAAAATACTAAAAATAAGTTAGTAAAAAATCCATTGATGAAAGTGTGATTAGTTTTTAATATTTTATTGTATTGAACAGTCGAAATAATCTATTTTTGAATGAGGAAAGTACGCAATTAGTAGTAGCTACATACCATTGCATATTAAGTATAGGTAACGAAAAAAACCTATTACGTCGTAACCAAAACGTGTACCTAAGTTTTCTCTAGAAATAACGAACAAAGTACATTTGAGACTATAATGCGGGTCTACAAGGTCAACGAAGGCACGACGATTACTAGGCACTTTACTATGCGATTTAAAATCGAACTTCACAATTTATTATTCATCTTACTTTAAACTAGATCAGGGCTGATCTAGGGATTGTAAAACATATTTTTTGTAAAAAAGGATTAACAAATGGACTACCTTGCTCGTGCTTATCCATACGAATCTACATTTTGGATGAGCACCTAGCTTCACTGACGGACAGACTGACAGACTATTATTTATTTTGTATTTTTGTTGATATTTCAAAAGTATCAAATTATGGTTTAATTGAAATAAATGACTGCCTAACTGACTGCTTCATTGGCCGAGTGGTCGCAAGTGCGACTGCCGGGCAAGGGGTCTCGGGTTCGATTCCCGGGTCGGGTAAAGTATTACTAGGTTTGAAAAAACCTCAGTAGTAGCACGGAGTCTGGAAATGTGCCCGGTATGTGGACTCACCCCCTATTACATGGGACTCTTACATAAATAGTGAAAAGTGGGTGTTACATTGTACAGTGGCATTAAGTGCCGTAATGTGTGAACCTCTGCCTACCCCTTCTGGGATAAAAGGCGTGATGTGATGTTGAAATAAATGCTTTGACTGTGAACTTTGACATTGACCTGTACTTCCTTATCTAGATACATACTTGTAAACATAAAATAAACATAAAATAATTTACATCAATCACAATTGTTGGCTTAGTAAAGTTAAGTGAAGTGTATTAACACTTGATACATAATTATTATCGAAGGCCGCTAAGCAAAGAATGAGACCAAAATGTCAGTAACCAGACTTAAGCGCTAAAATTTAACCTTGACCTAGGAATTGAAACTATAAGTCAAGGTCAGCGTATACAATGTCAATGTTCTAGAAGCACCGTGGCCAGCAGACCAACTTAGTTCTTTACTTGATCTTCAACTTAATTATTTTAACCATAAAGTCGAATTTACAATGGAAAATTGACACTCTACATAATATGATGAATGAACTTACGTATAAGAAGAGAAAACGAAGAATCCTCTTGTGTGTGAGTATGTAGAGGACGTTGCCGGTCTCAGGGTCGATGACTGGCAGCCGATGTATGCGGTTGGTGATCAGCATACGGATGGCATCGAACAGTGAGTTGTCCGGCCCTATCGACACCAGCGGCACCACTGAGCCTTTCAAGACTTCTGAAATCATAACATAATTATTTTCTTATGCATCTTGTATGTATGATGAAATTTAATTTTTATATGTTACAGTAAAACACTATCACGCAGTCGTGGTATAGAGTGTCGTGGAACCATGGCAAAATATCGGCAAACATGATGCAACCTAAAGGGGACCTTCATACTGCAGTTGATGAATATAATATAGAAGATTGAAGAAGAAGAAGCATGATATGCATAACGGGTTTTTTTTTATTTAATTATCATTCATTTTCCCATAAACGTTTTTGATAGCATTTCATTAACTAAAAACCTTAACTTAAAAATATACTTACGGCGCCAAGTCTCAAGTCGGTGCTCTTCTAGCTCTTCCATAGCGACATTCGGACTTGTGTAGTACATTTGCAGAATCTTGATGAAGTCCGTGATCGTAAGCATTCCCACGAACTTCTGCCGCTGCGAGTCCCATAGAGGAGCGGCACGCACGCCTGTTGGCAAGGAAGCTATTGGTATTGGCTGTTGGCCACCAACAATGGCAGTCGGAATATTGTTGGCCAACATCAACATTAGGATTTAAAATTACCTGTTAATTGTGTATATTAATAAATCGCTTTACTACCTAATTCGAAATGATAACTATCATTTTACAATCTCCATCTAATGGAAGTGCAAATGGTATCCATAGACAGATAAATACGGTCTAAATGAACGGTAATGAGGCAGTAATTTGGGGTAATTGTATCTTTTGTTGGTTTGACTCGCTATCCAGCTATTATCGTTTAGTACTTGCATTCAACTCAAGGTCCGTATCATTCGTTGCGTGTTTTGCTTGCAAATAGTGCATTCGACATGACATGGCGTGCTAACAGGCGTCAGTTTATTTGTGCAAATGTTGTCAAATATTTTGTAGCGTATCTAACAATAGGGCTTAAGTTCCAGAATAACAGGAAGTTTAAAAGCCTAAAGTTAACACTTAAATTGACGATTGCAAGTTATTTTTCAATACCATGAAAACATTGATACAAGTGAATTTATTTCTGCAAATAAAGGCTACAATGCAGCACTTTTAAATGTCAATTTTTTAAACGAACGATGAGGCCGATATTTCCTAACTGACTACTCTGAGAAGCAATACTGAAACAAACTCAGAGGTCCATCTCTTTTAAAATCCAGTCCATTACACAGCCTAGTAACGACTTCTTTTTACTTAAGATATATTTGAGCTACGTGTACTAAATAATTTCATATAACAAAGAAATGAGAGGAAAACATCGGCCAAAACCCTCATTGGGCAAACATTCTCTGGGGACCGTGTCAAATAGAATTAGATGATTGGAAGACGGATATCCGGCAAAGTTAGGGGAGCGCAAAATGATTGGAGTATAACTACTTATGGGGTCACCTGCAGAGAAGCCCTTAATATACTTTTATACTAATGATGGGATTATGACAGCTGAGTTGGTTTCGATGTTCCTTCTGAGAATAGTCAGTCAGATAGAAAATGTATGCGTGTTCATCTGGTGAATTTGAGTATTGTGCGTTAGGTGTAAATGTGTTATTTTGTAGTATATTTTAATTAATATAATTTCATCGGACTGTGTGTCCGCAAATCACTTAAGAGGCCAGTAAAATACCAGCGCGAGGCCCTGTCTTGCACATGCTGAACTGGTACCATTTCACCGCAGACTTAGGACATTAGTAGATATTTATGTGGAAAATCTGTATGGGTCACCTGTTTTAGCGTGTAAATTAGGATTTTTTTTCTTTCTTTCATCGCTTTTGGATACAATGAGACAAGTAAACATTGAATTTAGTTATCAAGTAAAACAAAATTGGTTAGAGTTTTGTAAAGTGACTAGAGATTAAATTTCAAGAGGATTATAACTTAAAATTAATCTATGCTAATCTAATAAAATGCGAAAGTAACTGTTTGTTTTCTGCGGTTTATTTGCTGGACCTCTTGTGAAGTTTTATGGAGTTAATTTAGTTGATACTTAAGATTATTATGAACTTTATTATTAAACAATTAAAATCCATCATTAGACTGAATTAATGTGAATAAACCAATAATATTGGATTACTACATAAGTATATGTAATATTAGCAAATGAAAAGTTTTGTAATATTTATTATCAGTTTTGGTCACAATTTTACTCTGTAAGACGTTTTGGATGAGAGAAAAATTTACTTAAAAAACAAGGAACAAGTTTTTACGCAGACTGAAACATGATTATAGATCAACATTACTGATTGTGGAAAACTAATAATAAAGTATAATAAGAATATAATATATCCATTGTTCTTTTAAAGATTTTGATAAACATGTAAGGTATGGTGACTGACTACGTTGTAATGTAGTTCGAACCATTATTAAAATGATATTTGCCATATTAAAATATAATAATAAATTAATGGAAATTTGCTAAATCTTACAGAAAATGGGTATCACTTTAAAACCTGTATGTCATTATAGATTTAAACTGTTCAACAGAATGTAGCTTAAGCTGTACCTATAACATTATTGTATAAAAACTTCGAGGCATTGTTATAATAATACCTCTATAGTACGTAAGTATATAACAATGCAAAATCGCATTAAATACATATATTTAACACTGTATGCACGAGGTTTTCTCTTAACATTTTACACAAGGATAGATCGTGTCGGCCTCATCACAGTTTTAACCTTTTTGAAAACTCCACCTGGAGTGCTGAGCTCAGTGGAGTGTGCATCTCTAAAAGATTGCATATCTACCTAGTCTCTTTGACTATCCACCTATAAGAATGGCAAACGTACGAATAAGAACTCAATGAGAATCATATGTGACGACCATTTTCTACCTTCTGTCTAATGCTATTGTACTCCTTAAGAAACAATACAACCATGAGATGGAGACTGTTAACTAATCAGCTCAATTGTCAAAATTAAACCACCAAAACAAAGTTCAATGACCTCTTTATCATCCTTCCTTATCTTCTAAGCAGTGAATGATAGACTATCAGGATTTAAACTTTACGTAATAACAACAAATCCTCGTATATAAGTCGGTGTATCTTTAGTATTGATATTCAAAATAAATAAACAGTAAGCAATAACCGTGGTGTTGAAGTTTAAAGATTAGCGTTATAATCTCAAGCTCTGTTTAAAATTCTGGAACGATATACACCTTGGTTTCCATGGCAACACGGCCGTATTGTTTCTTATGGGGTTCGGCCGTACATTGCAAACACCACAGCTGTATAAATAAATCAGAAATATTACATGATCAATTGATTCGTTTTAATCACCTCGCTTGGCATTATAAACGCTATTAAAATCGCTTCGTAATGTTAGTTAGAATTGAGAAGAAATCGCAGTGCTTATTTAAATACATTCGCTCAGTGAACTAAGATGAACGAAGTTGAATTTATTTTTATGTTATGATCGCACGGTCAAATGTCTCAGTCAAGGTGCCAAAAAATAAACATATTCCATTAAATTTGGTTTTTCTGTCACCTTGATTTGTCTATCTATAGATGTTATCGACGTTAATAAACACATAGCAACATAAATGGCATTGAACAACAGGAAAAAATATAGGAGAAGATAAGAGCGGCATTATAATGATGAGCATAATATTAACGCAGTAATTTTTTTTATGAGAGAATGTTCTGTATCGTAGGTAACAATGCATATTGCACTCAGCACGATAGATGCCGTAGACAAGAGTGTACGCAAACAATGTTTCCACACTAACCGTTATAAACGAGTGCGAAGAACGCCTTCTTGACCAGGAGTTGCGTGTCGAACACTACCAGCTTCGCCGAAGTCGGTATCAGGTCGTAACACTTGTGGAACTTGAAGAACTTCACGAATATCTGGGACTCATCCTCCTCTGAAAAGAGCATAATTAAAAAACTTTGTATTTATCTTCATTGAAACATGCTCATTGTACGGCAACGCGGACATAAAATAAGAAATGAGTCATTTTTGAAGCCTATTTATAACCTCGGACAAACACAGCCAAACGTGCATATATGTACGTCCGTTACACACTACCGTCGTTTGAACCGCCATTGGATGGTTTCAACAGACTGATGATAAGTATTATTTTAGTCTTTCGCTGTGTGAATGCTTTTTATTTCGGGAAAGGAACTCTATTAAACTGAAGGCAAACTAGTCTTTATTGACATAAACAGTATACATAGTAGATACGTTGTGTAGTATTTGTTAACTTATTGTTCTGAAAATGTACGTAACGTACATGTTTATATGATTTAAATAACTAAAACTTATCACACATACAGACAAAGTACTTATCAATACTCTTATATCTTTAAGTGGTACTGGAAATTATTGACAAGGTCGCTTAATGTTTTATTTCTGGTTTGCTTACAATACAATATTTGAATAATTTAGCCTGAGAACCGAGTTCATTTTAACAAAAGTTTCGAAGTAACAGATAAATAATAAGGATTTATGATCTAGGTCTTATGTGTGTTTCCCAAAAACACAACGCCTATCCAGCACTCGTTCCATTACAGATTTTGGAAAACTATTAAGGCGATTGATCTATTAATAATGACTACTTACTAATTACTACAAAATAATTCGATAAGTCATGTCACCTTTTACATATTCTTACGCGGTGAGTACAGTAGTGTGCGAATAAGAGTTGTCCCCATTCAGTTGACTGAATAGTCACCCACACTTACTGACTTTAAATCGCAGTACACGTTCTATCAATTTGGAAATGATTGAATGTTTTATAACATTCTTGTATTTTTTACATTAAATTACAAACAATTGCCTATTATAGTTATCACAAAACCTCTAATAGATTATCACGAAATCCACGAAAAAACATAATAATATGACCGTGAAGTTAAATGACCTCTTCCGTAGTTTTGGGTGTTAAACAACACAAGGTAAACAGCATTGTTTGACAGCCATTATCATTTTGTTTTTAATCTTCATTGATCTATAGATAATCGCACGATCGACTATGTATAACCAAGATGTTAAACCTTCCGTTAATACGCCACTCTAGTGACATCTACTTTTTGCGTCCATCAATTTCTCTTTGAAGCTGCATAATGAAATTAGCTATCGGAGTATTTTGCGTGAGCGACGTGTGGCGAGAAGCGACGTTGCAAGAACGACGAACGCGATTAAATCAACAATACAACAGCATACCATGGCTGCGTCCTATGTGGCAGTCTGCGACGAGATTCGACGTGACGTATGCTTGTTTTAAAGACGGCCAGACGCGACACCAGGAAATCGTACTGTACTTCTCCATGATTGGAGAAATAATGAACCAATGCACGTAGCCCACGAAGAACATTTGTCGCGTGCAATTTCGTGTCGTATCGTATTGCATCGTATCGTATCGTGTCGCGTACTATTCGTCGGCAAGGGAGCCCGTAAACAATGAATCGTTCTTAATTCATACTATGAAATGCATTACTCTATGAAATATGATGGTAAATGCAATACTTCATTGAGGATCCCCATGTTACAAGTCTATAATATCGCAATTATACATAGCATGGTGGTCGCGCACTATTGAATATGAAACCACAGCTAATGAGTTCGACTGGCATATTTAATGTACACGTATTGTCATGCATTAAATGTGTCAACCACCAGCCACGAACTAAAATTACGTAGATAAACACGATCTCAATTCCGTTGCAATATGAAATTAATTATTGTTTATTTGTTATAGCATTCCATAGTATTCAAAACAATTATGCATTTAATATTTTAGATATTTCTCCGAAATGCTACAGTACGAAATGGTGACAAATCGAAATTCTTAAGTAGGTTCGAGTAATCTGTCACAGTCTGTCGCTTCAACTATGAGTTTGCGAAGGAAATTATGATTCAAACGTGTCGTAATTGCTAACAGACTACGTTGTATAATGCGTGCAGACAATCTCTCTAGATTTATAGCTAGTTTTGATAGCACCAGTAAATCACAGTAATGGATATTTCAAGAACTTCATCTCTTGCTATCATTGCATTATTGCATTGGCAAAACCCCTTAAATCAGTTTACTTCTCTACGTGTATATTATTCCATGTCTATCTAGATACATAATTGACAACAAAGATGTTTGTAGGAAAGTAAATGGTGCGTAAAAGATACACAAATAATTTTAATTCCTAAAATGACTGTCTGAGAGACATTTTACTGCCAATAAAATTTGTTTAACCGCGTCGTAATAGCTCAAAGTCATAAGTATACCCAATTTCAGAATGCTGAATTGGAGTCAGAGTCTGATAAAATATGGATACGTAGTAAAAAAACCTTCGTATGGATCAAACAGACCAACCCTCTAAACCATCAGTCAGTGCAGAATCATAAAAACATCTAACAAATTATCTCTATTAGCACTGGACTGGAACCGTTTCTGCCTCGCTTTGAAGTAACACATTTTCTGTGTCAAAGATTTTGAATTTTTAGCATCAAAACGATAGCGCAATTCGTTAAAAATTCAAGAGGGAAAGAATGTTTGTATTTACCGTCTTTGTATCACGAAGAGACAAATACAATAGTGTGAGTTCTTACATCCTACGTTCCTCGTTGGACTTGTGAGTCATTGCATTACAAAGTGACTCCGCCGTGGCTGGCAGTATCAAATAGCAGAGGAACGCATGTGACGAGTTCCGTTTGCAAATAAAACGCATGAAAAAAGATACGGCACAACTGTACATTGTAACCAGATAATATCGTATATTAGCTAAGTTAGCTAATATTAACCAGTACCTACTATTTGTAGTTTTAAAGTTCTCGTGGTAATGTAATTAAGGGATGGCTCAAACTACTCAACTTTAAGCATAACGTGACTTCACTTTACTTAAACATTACGGGTACGGATTTATGTAATACTAGCTTCTGCCAGCGGCTTCGCCCGCGATCTCAGGGGTAAAATGCCTATGTATCACTTCAGACCATAATCTACCTCTGTTCCGAATTTCATTCCGGTCCCTTCAGTCGTTTTAATATGACTGAGTAACAAACATACACATAAACTCACATATTTTCATTTATAATATCGAGTCAAGCTAATTTCAACCATTGGCCTTTCAGATACAGCGTAAAGTCTATGAATGAGTATTGTAAACGTTAGAGTAGACAAATACAATCAGAAATCACCGAATTGCTAAGCTATCGGAAGTTTCACGTGTTATTGTGAGTCAACCATAAAAGATAGACATGTGCTGTCGAGGAATATTTTTTATATAATTTTAAGGAGAATATTTCCGTCACACATGATTTCTATGCAGCTTTAACCTATAAGCCTGCACACGCGACGGAAGCTTAAAAAATGGAGTAACTTCTCCCGTTTTCCCAATATTTCCCTTCACTGCTCTGCTCCTATTGATTGTAGCGTAATGAAAAGTATACTATAACCTGCCCAAGAGTATGAAGAATAATTGTGCCAAATTTCGTTAAAATCCATTGAGTAGTTTTTGTTTCCATAACGAACATACAGACAGACAGACAGACAGACAAAAATTTTACTGATTGCATTTTTGGCATCAGTAGCGATCCCTAATCACCCCTTGATAGTTATTTTTTAAATATATTTTATGTACAGAATTGACATTTCTACAGATTTATTATAAGTATAGATTATTATTACTTTTCCTCGTTTTTGTGTTTTGTCAGGAGTAGTATCGTAAGAACGAATACAACTTGCAAAAATAACAAAAAGTCTTCAGTCCAAAACCGAGGCCAAACATCAGTTTGTCATAACTTAAAAGGTTTTTATCATCGACATTATTAGTGGTAAAAAATCTCTATTCACACACTTATTGAATTCCTGATTGCGTTTTGATATACCTGTATCGTCTTCTTTGTCTTTGTATTACATTATCGTGCGGTCACGATGACACTATCGAGTTGCAAATAATCGTCACAGAAGCAACTTTGAACACGTTACAATACTATTGAATGCTAATTATTGCTCCACTTGTTCCGATTACACGACGGAAATGACTAGTAAGCATTGGGTCAAGTTTACAACCTTCTTATGACTTGGCATTTTTACGGCCAGAATTAACCAATTTAATCGATGTTGATATTTGACAAAAACTATTAGGTACCTACATCAAAATTTTTTCTTGATATTTGGATTATAATCTATTAATAATTTCGCCCATTAGTAAACTTCAGAGGATATAATCTCTTATTTAGAATCCAAGAATTGAATAACAACTAAGTAAGTAGTTCAAGGATAATGGGTAACTCGACAGCCAACACTACCGACGCATGTAATTAAAAAGTTCGTGACAGCTTGATGGAACTTCACACATTCATCTTAAAACTACTATGTTAGCACTTTACTACTAGCTATGATAGAGAAAAGGTTAGATTTTCTAAGGGAAAAAGAGACGGAATCTTTTAACTGTCTGATAAGTTTGATATAAAGTCCAGTTACAAAAGAACTTCGTAGCAAAATTAGTTCAAGCTTTTTTGATGACGGGTGGAAACATTCAAAAGATGCCTAGGTTTTGGGGAGAAAGCAGAAGTGTAGGATTTTAGAACTACTCGGGTGATCAGCATCAAGCACCTATAAAGGAACGACGGGTCCTCTAACTACACCAGCTTCGGAACCAACTATACCTATAGCTAGTGAACGTAGAGGTTAATGCGTTTATTGTTGATGCTGACTGCCTGCGCCTGCACCTGCGCAGACGGAGGACTTTCCACGTGAGACATTATGTTAAACCTTTGACTGCCGACAGAAAACTGCTGAAGGCAAATCCTCCACTAATGTAGGTCACCGGTGACCTACGCGGCGGTTAACGTATAGAACGCATATGTCGGAAAAGGGACCTTTTGGTCCTTGAGGCACTTGGTCTAATTCTTAGTGAATATTTTTTACATCTCTGAATTGGTTTTTGTCCATAGGGACTAGCATAAAATTCCTCATTGCTCAGGCATTGAGAAAGCGATATTTAAAGTTACACATGCATGATAAGGATGATATTCTGAACTTCTGAATCTACATTCTAGAGGCCCTAAGACCGTGGTATAAAAAAATAATTAGTCTATTATTAGTATGCATCTAATGCAATAAATATATTAACACTCCTGTAAGCAATTACAACGAATGATGCGTATGAGTCATTTCAAATGATGAATGCAGAACAAATGTTAGTATGTGGGACTGCTTAAATTATGAGAGACATTAAGAGGAGTAATTATTGTTATTTCGAATCAAATGGTCACAAGAGTTGTTTGAATTCCGGACAGGGCAACAAGTAAGGGCTCCGGCGGAAGTCTATAAGATATTGGTCGCCACTGGGGTGGTATTATTCAGGTAAGATTTCTACATTCCCCGAAAAGCTAGGAACGTTTTGAAAGTTTCTACTCGTAACCAAAACAGGCCGTTCAGACATTAAAAAGCCTTAACTAGAATGTAAGAGTAGGTACTTAAAAGACAGAAACTATCGGAAAAGTTAAGGTACTACAAAATAATGGATTTCGCGCTTCGAATGCTTTGATACCACCTAAAAATGGCTAATAAAATGGCCTGGGCTATTCCACTATCAGCACCGATCGACATCTTTGGCCAACTGTGATTAATGGAATAAGAAAATATTTAAAAAATGTTATTAATTGAACAAATGTTGCCTCTTGATTTGTAAGTTGGTGTGTTGGGGCAAGTTAAAGAGAGATGAAGCAATAATAAATCAAATTATAGGCTAGGCCTAAACTGTATTTCATTACTTTACTAATAATTATTAAGAACAGAATATTATTCGAACAGAGAAAAGAAAAAATCTTACATGCCTAAAACACGAAATAAAAATCGGTTACTATGCCAATAATGTTCAATAGATTTCGATGCGGATACCTATTTGTTTATTTACGTTCATTGCTGGTGCGTTGCGCACGCGGCGCTAAGGATGTGACGTCATTGGAAACCTCAAGTGTGTTCAAACTAAAGCTAATTGAATACTAATCATATTTCAGTTTTTTAATTCTTCAGTAACCTGAACGTTAATGAATTTAATTTGCACATTTTTAAGAAAAAATGCCCGGTAATGGACATCCCAATGAGACACAACCTAGATTACTAGCCAATAAAAGCTGTACCAATCTGTCATAGAAGATAAGCTGAAACTTCAGTTAATTTGTACGAACTAACTACATGATGTATAAATTACGATTCGTTGCACTGTTAGATGAGCATACACGAGTCAATCACCACGTTGTCACAGCACTGACGAGCACAACGAAAACAAAACGCAAACATCAACAGGTAATATTGCGCAAGAGCGCTCGCGCAGCGTGGGTGACATAAACAAGCCGGCACCTTTGAGGAGCCAGTCAGCTAGGAACGCCTTCCAAGCGCGGCCGACGGCTTCGAACTCCTTGATGAGGTCGATGGAGTAGACGGACTCTTCGTCGTCGTCGACGGCGAGCGCGGGGTTGTCCGAGAAGTAATGTAAGCGCAGCATGCGCAGGGCCCGGGCGGCGCATCGCCCGCCGCCACTCGGTGCGGCCCGGCGCGCCTCCCACGGCTCACTGCTAATTATACGCGCGCGCCAGCCGCGCCGGCCACGCCGGGAGACGCGACGAACTTGACACCACTAGGCGCACCCGCGCCCGCTGCTACGTCGCCGCCGCCGCGCCGCTTGGCCGTCTGCCCCTTGCCAGCCCACGCCCACAGTCGCGCCGCGCTGGACCGTGCTACCAACTACATACGACTACAATGCACCACAAGCTACTTCCCAGAGACAATTATACAAACGTCTTCCGATGACGCATTCACATTGAAAACTTGTTTCTCTCTATTTATGTCACTAAACAGCCATAATCTTCCAAAAGCACTACTGTTTCGGGCCGCTTCCATAAAATCTATGGCATCGTTCAGGCTCGTTCCGTTTTTAAGTTTTTTCGTTGTAATTTCCACGCATCGTTAACACCGTTTATTAAATTAATTATAACTGTCAGTCACAGCGGACGTTTCAAAAAATAGTCATAATTTGCTTTAAATAATAATTTCGCACATTTATTTAAAACACTTACATCAGTTACGGTGACAAGATGGAATCTCTCTCTTGTAATTTAGAGACGTGTCACGCTATCGTTATTTATTCCATTCTCAGAAGTTCCCATGTTCTATGTTTAGAAGATTAAAAATATGTAAGCCGGTCAACATACGGAAGCCGCGTTATACTTTTGGTCTCAATTCTCCTTTACTTTTTGCCAAAAAACAATATGTATAATAGTTTTAAGAACCTTCTTCCGGTGATTCAATGAATACATATTCAGATTTCAATGGAGATTATTTCAATATAAGTAGAATGAAACATTTCATTGCGTACGTAAAAATTTGCAGGTAAAGAATATGACACTATAGTAAGTATGGTAGAAATCGGCAAACGCAATTACTATATACGTTTATTTTTCATACTCCGCGACACAATAGGTTAGGCACTTGCGCATTGTGAAGGTTAGTAACAGTACTTACGTATAGTAATAAGTCTTCAAGGGAAACTGTAACTAGCGACCACAACACACGGCTCATTATTCATTACCTTGTTCTATGTAGTCATTAAGCTGAACTAAACAATATGCTCAATTATAAGTTACGAACAGTCCTAATCCAAGGAATGACCATAGCATATGTATTAAAATTATACCTTTACCACATAGGAATTTCCTTAGACGTCTATAAATGAGCATGTCTAATTGGTTGACTGCATTGTATAGGAACACTAATTAGGAGTCGTATCATAACCTTGTAATAATATATTGATAAGATAAAATGGAAACTGAATGAAAGTTGTAACGTAAGAGCGAGCTCACTGTTCAACACGGTAAAAAAGACGAAGTAACTGCTAGGTTGCCGATAAAAAAATAATTTATCGCTATCAAAAGAATCGTTAAATTTTATATTCGGTTGCAACTGATAATAATGTTTGACATATCAGAGATACAAGTTAAAAATATTCTGTAACGAGCATTTATTCGTATAAAATATCACTACATAGTATAAAACAAAGTCGCTATCCGACGTCTGTACAGACAGACGAAGATCGAAGCATACATGGGGACAGCCCTATGTATGCTTCGATCTTCAAAACTACGCAACGGATTTTGATGCGATTTTTTTTACTAGATAGAGTGATTCTTAAGGAAGCTTTATATGTATAGTACATGCATATTGCACCCGTGCGAAGCCGGAGCAGGTCGCTAGTGCATATATAAATATAATTTAAACGCAATAACATTTAGATCAGGAACAAATTTGTAAATTCTATACTTTGTTAAATAAAGAAATTCTGTTCTTAAAATATATCTGATCATCGAGCCGATGTAATTAACTACGACGACCTAACAGGCACTGCAATAACAGTGCAATGTGATAATTTAAATAGCTTTGTAGCACAGATGAAAGGGTCTAGGACCGATTAATATTAGAAATTTGCATTTCAAAGGTTGGAGAATATATGGAGACAATAGACGTGCCCGAAGCATGTAGAGGTATCTGTACATGTCTTGTACGATACAGCGCTTTGATTTATCCCGTTTGTAGTAAAGCCAGATGACAACAGTATGAATACGTAATTGCCTGTGAAGAGTAAAATATTTTTGATATTGCTACAATACTAATATAGAGGTACAATGTGCGCAATCTATGAATGAATAACCTTAGTTAGTAGAATAGGTGTAGACTTCAAAAAGGTTATAATTCTCAAAACGTAATAGATAAAAGTTAAATTATTGATTACTTTGCAGAATCCTTTGAAGTACTCTTAGCGGAAAAAGTCATTGAAGTAGAAACGAATCCAATGGGATGATCCATATCACAATCGTTTTTGCTGAGACGCAAGCCCTTTGGCAAGGTCCTTTTAAAACATCCATCACCCAAACTGACCCAAACATGTATATTATGCTTAATATCTCAACAAAAATACAGGTAAAATAAGACGGTTTGCAACAACATTAAAATGCGAGTAACAGACATGTTGAATCATCACAGCCTACATCTCAGATACAAATAAGGAAAATGCATATAAAATTAATAATGTTCGTCCACGTTATATACAGAGATTCTTTTAGTTCAAGTAACATTATCACTGGATTTTATAAAGGAGCATTCATATAAATATGGGTGTAAATTGAATTTCAAGATACGTGCTTCGTTAATAAAAATATATCAATTGAATGAACTTACCTAGGTCGGAAAGGCTGACTTTTTCCAAAAACGGGTCCGCAACCGGTAACTGGAAAGAAAAAAATAAAGAATTTAGTTCGTAACATTACAGTGAAATAAATGGTAATAACGTCACCCCCGAGAGAGGTATTAAAACTCGGACAACAAAAGACAATAATGGTGAGCCTGTTTTGATTGCTAATAGCCAGACCGGTCGATAACCAGCTGCCGTTTTTATTTTCAAAGTAAATAAAGGAATGTTACACGAAATTATTCAAATCGAACAATACAGCGCAAATTTTCGGAGGGTAAATGTAACTTGGGGAAATGGACTGAATTTTCCTAGGATAGGTCAAATCTTGACTAGGAATACAATCCACCTCAGAAGTATTTTCTTTTAAATCAAAATAATATTGACAAATAATCTATGAAAGAGGGAGAAAAATATGGAAAGAAAACATAAAAAACTACAGTCGAACATGGATTTTGCTCCTGTTTTGAAGTCTGTTAACGAAAAAATAGGTCACGAAGTTTTCTTATTAAAAGAAATGGCAAAATTATACCTCAGTATTACTTTAGTGGCTTCAAGTTTAACGCTCGTTAGAAACCGCTGTACCGTTGTATAATTGTAAGTAATACTCACATTGTTTTCATAATAATATAATAATATTAATTTTAAAACTTTACTTCTGTTCTGTGATTATTACTTATTCTACTACTTCTATGTTTCGGCATTAGGGCTGGATTTCACCGGGCACCCAGTCACTGTGATGTCCGTAGATCCTGCATACCCAGACACCATACATACACCATACAGACCACAAAATAAACCTCTAATGCTGCCGTCCTAGCTGGTCACGCTGCCAGATTGATTGCATAACTACGCATGATCCACAAAAGTATATAGATACTCATGTGAGTATCTATATACTCATGTGAGTATCTATATACTCATGTGAGTATCTATATACTCATGTGAGTATCTATATACTCATGTGAGTATCTATATACTCATGTGAGTATCTATATACTCATGTGAGTATCTATATACTCATGTGAGTATCTATATACGTTTTGTTAGTAGCGACGACTGGTTGCGCCACCATGGTGTCGCGGTGAAATATATCCTTTAGAGAATCCTTTCATTTTCAGAACAAAGGACAAAACGATACGAACGCGTGTCGACTCGCAGTTAGATGGTTTTTTTTTACTGTAAAGCAATTTGAATATCCTCAGTATGCATTTGAAATCATACCGATTAAAAGAAAACGTACGATATTTTATTATTGTAATTAAAACCAAGTTAATAATATTTTTATAGTATAAAGTTCAAAGTGAATATTTTATTTGCAAGGAAAAAGCAATTAGTCTAGTTAAGACCAGCTACATTTCACGAGTTATTTTTCCTACTCAAGCCGATTCCCTTACAAAAGTTTGGTAGTTACAAAACAAACGTTCTACAAGTAGTGCTAGAACGTACAATTCTGCAGCCATGGTAAAATTTTAGAATAAGAAGTGCCAATTAGTCAAAAGTTACCAAAAGCGCATTCAAACTTTTCTGCCAATTAAATATAACCTTTTTAACTTTCCTCTCTAAACGTATCTTGTTGTTATGACGTCACCTAGGTATATATATAAGCCGTGTGGTGACAGTAAACCAAAGGTTTTCTAAACCATTTCTCTTTCTGTGGGTGTAGTAAAAGTCAACTAAATTTAACGTAGATTGATAAGCCTTATCCCTATAGATAGACTGCATCTATAAAAAGCCCTATCTATTCGTTTTAAATGTATTAGTCCAACAGTGAAGTATTACGGCCAATCACGAGTTATTATTGAGTATGATGTGACCCATATAATAAACAACATTATTTGCTTAACCTTCAAATACACTAGTAAAACCAATATGATAAGAAATTGACAAATTGCCAATAACAGATGGCACCACTGATGTGAATTTACAACGTACTAAATCGTTTAACGGTATTTGTAGGGGTTGTAAATCCCTACAGTGTTGATTATAAGTTTATGTTGCAATATTGAATGTTGTTTATGTTAAATGAGTAGACGACCAATCTCTTAGATAGTTTTATTGCTACTGAATTAAATTAATTATGTAGTTTACAATGTTCAGAAATGCTGATTACGATGATTTAATTATTCGCGCGTATGACGACAAAGTCAATGTACGTACAGCGTAGCTCGTACATCTTGCCCTCTCAAAAAGATAGGTATAATTATGATCAACTAGAATGTTAAGTATAAAATTAGGTTAAGTGTACAAATAGTAAAATTAATGTAACATGAACTGAATACAATAAAGTTAAAATATAAAAGTTCATAAGCATTATAATTAATCCTTAAATATGTCATGTCATTTTATATGTGTGGCAACGTGAAGTAGGGGACGTTGCTTTGTCCAAGTTATTTGTGCTCGATGATGGTGGTGGCTCCCTGGATTCGAGCATAGCATTATCTTCCATGCTGACTGTTGATCTCCTCCGTGGTGCAGGGTCAGGAACGCGTAACGGCCCAGGAATCGCTTGAGGTATAGGTTGTTTCCTAAACTTGTAATACCCATATATTGCAGCTGCTATTGCCACGGTCGCCATAAATAGGTATAGTACGATATATTGATGTATGTCGTGATATGTTATTTGGTCGGATATAATGTCTTCGGATCCCGTCTCCTTTATCTGTTTTATTTGTTTACCGAGATCATCCAGCAATAACATATTCGCTTCCTTGGTCAGACTTCCATTGTGTACCTCTTGTATAATTGGAACAGACAGATTAATTAAATTGTTTATCGGTGGAATTTCTACCGGAACTATGTCTACTCGAGATTGAATTTCACTCATCTGTAGTTTTCTTGAGTAGGCAGTAAATGTATCGCTGTGTCATTACCCCAGCCTTTTGCAATGTTTGTGTTGATATTTGATGCCCACATATGATCCGGACTTTGCATTGTTCGCAACAGAAATATAAATAATGATTCATATTTCTAAGTTCCGTCTATATGTCTTGACAGCGTTCCTGTTTTGTTTGACAATTAGCAGTTTCGTTGTTCCTTTTGCATAGACTCCTCTCATCTGATTTCATGCGATAAATGGGTGTTTGTAGTTGGCATAATCGAGTGGTAGTATCATAATGTATGCACTCGTATAGGTCAGGAGCAGTAATAGGTAGATAGGAGTCTTTTTGTAGGTTTATCGCCATTAAGTCAGCGATTGGCAGTAGGGTGACCATATCTCCACCACTCCTTTTAGGTACAGGTATAACTCGATAGACCTCGTAGTTATCTCTGGTTGTTAAGGGCACCTTCATCTCAACCAACAGGTATTTTGCTGTTATTTTCGCTTTCACTTGAAGAAGGTGATATAAGCGAAAGAAATCTGTTTGCATATTGGTGATAGGCAGGGCCAGATCCTTTGATAGTTGACCAGAAATAATGTTCAATTCGTACCGTAATTGGTCTGGTCAAATGAGATGCGTGTTGATGTCGCCGTTGAAAATATTCTTCACAGTGTCCAACAGTGTCTCCTGGACGTCCTTGAGATGTTCTATTAAGATGTTTGCGGAGATGGCGGACATAGTAAACTCAATGGATAATTCTTGGGACCTTATTTCTTGTTGTAATTCATTGGTTATTTTATCCAAATTAAGTAAGTGTTGGTTAAATAGCTTGTGTTGCATTTCTATTCTTTCTTCAGATCGTCTTAGTACATTGTATTCAGCTTCTATGACAGACGTCTGATTTTTGGCTAACAGTGCCAGATGTTTCTCATTTTCTCTGATAAGGTTAATGTCCCGTGTGTATTGTTCTGCAAATTGGTCATCCAATACACCGAACAAGGAACGTGCGATGGAACCGACACCGTTGATAAGCCCGCGTTTGCTTCTTATGTTTCCTCGGCCTTGCGGACTCAGCAACATGTTGTTGTAGTGTTCAAGTTCAACGAGCGCGTGTCGCCTTTGTAGTGAAATTATTTTACATTGTGTTTTTGGTTTGATCCTTTCACATACATCTTCCAAATGTTCGTTGAATTTTTCTATTATTGTTAAGCTGGTCCAATATGGCGAAAGGTCATAATATACTACTATTTTCCATTCGTCGTGAATTACTTTCAAATTTGTTACTTTATCGAAATAGAGGCCTTGTTGGATCTCTGCAGTGTTGAAATTATTGTTTGCTGTGACTGGATTCAGAAAATATAGCAAAGTCATAACTACCTCTAGGCTAAATAAGTTTACGTTGCTTGTTGTTTTATTTTTGACGCGTTGTGACCGTTCTGTGCCTCTCATTGTTGATGGATGAGTCGCCTTTTCACAATGATTGGATGTAATTTGTTGTTCATTGTTTTCTAATGGCAAGATAGATATTTTTGTTATGGGTCTCTTCATGTAACCATTTTTGGTCTTGAGGTCTACCACGCGAACGTATCCATCTTCTCCCGGGTAAATGTTGGTTACTTTATCCATTAACCATTTCCCTGTAGGCATGTTATCGTCATGAATGACAACTACGTCTCCGATTTGTATGTTTCGTTGAGGTCTCCGCCACTTGGTTCTGACCAACAGCTGACTCAAATATTCTTCTTTCCATTTTTTCCATATGTCAGCGAAAATTTTTCTAGTTAATCCCATCTTTTGCGAGCATCTTCCTTTGTTTCAATGACGGTCAAACCTGACCTTCCTGTTAAAAGGTGGGCTGGCGTCAGACAATCTAAATCTTCGATGTTTTCAGTTAGTGGGCACAAAGGTCTAGAGTTTAAGCAGGCTTCCAGTTTAGATAGGATTGTGTTGTACTCCTCAAACGTAAGCCTTTGTTCTCCTACAACTCTTTTCAAGTGATGTTTCAAGCTTCTTACTGCTCTTTTTCTCCGGCAACACTCTCTTGAACTTACTGAGAGGTGCTCGGTGTTGGTGTTACAAATTTCCCAGTTGAGGACTGTAATTGTTTTGAAGACTGTTGGTGTTGTGAAATGATTAGATCTTTCACATCTTGATAAATCTGACGTGTCTTGGTGTACAAAGCAGATGTAAAGTATGTATGTTTACCGCTTTCTTCTGTTGTGAAACGGTCATGGTTAAATTGAAACTCACCCCATAACGTTTCTAACATCTGCATTCGCCGCTTGAAATAGTCAGCATTCTTCCTCGCCCAACCGTCTTTCTTGATGTTGATTCCAACCCTCTGTATGTTGTCAGACAGTTCCCTCTGGTTTTGACACATGTCTGCTGAGGACTCCATCATTCACTGTTATACTTTCGTTAAATACAAACGAAAACTTCGATTTTATCAATGCAGACTATCGCTCCACTCTCTCGGTTCTTGCTATTGTGTGACCACGTTTACTTACGATATTTTGCGACTTCTCAATTGATCACTAATGAGACCCGCTTCTGGGAGGCCAGTGCAACCGATTCGCTAACGTAAATAAATAGTGAATCACATCCGGCTCGAAGGACCATATGTAGGGGTTGTAAATCCCTACAGTGTTGATTATAAGTTTATGTTGCAATATTGAATGTTGTTTATGTTAAATGAGTAGACGACCAATCTCTTAGATAGTTTTATTGCTACTGAATTAAATTAATTATACAGTTTACAATGTTCAGAAATGCTGATTACGATGATTTAATTATTCGCGCGTATGACGACAAAGTCAATGTACAGCGTAGTTCGTACAGTATTTGAGTTACTACAATGTAGTTACATAAACGAAATTGGTACCTGATGCGGTCAAATTATTGCTATTCTCAGAACGGTTAAGAAGTGATGCATAATTATATTAACCCTTCGGGGATAAAAGTGTGATGTTATGTTATGATCTAAAATTATATACAGTTGTACTTATCTCGTAAATAACTTGATTTTGATGTAGTTTTCCATTCGAAAGTTTTCTCTTAAGGTTTTACACGTGTGGCTCCTCTAGTGGCGCCTGGCAATGGTGATCGCTTAGGTACCATAAGGAGGAACATCTTCTCGTTTGCCCCATATATCATTAACAAGAAGATGTCCCGATTAACGCACCCTAGGCGTGCCATAAGAAAAAATTCTTACTTATATTATAAATGCAAACGTTTGTATGTTTATTTCTTACCCCTTCAGGTCAAAACGGCTGAAGAGTGAAATATAACACAAAGGTTTTTTTATCCCACGATATCCCCAGTAAAAAGACTGATAGAAGATAGTCCAATATAAACTAGCCAGATCAACCTTACTTTAAATGTTCATTACGCTAAATCACTGAAATAATTGTAGTAGAGTTTGTTGAGAAAAATCGCAGCTGCACACTCGCTTCCCATAAGTACGAAGGCAAACTTTTAAGGCTGAGACTAAGGTATTATCCCTTAGTTACAGAAGAGAAAGTTATTAACTACTTTGATTCTATCCATCTTACTTTAAAAATAAATGGAAAACTTAATACCTATATAACTTCGATGACTGGATTTAACTTGGTGATGTAACAAATTGTGAACGTGTCATATTATTATGTTAATAGAAATGCCGATAGCATTACACCACGCCTTTTAATTTCCGAATGGCTATGCAGATGTGCACTTACCTGTACTCTAACACTCGCTTTTCACCATTCATGTTGTCGAGTCTCGTGTATAAAAAATGAGGCTACTGCCATATATCGGCAGGATATTATAGTGCATAATTTCAAACTTTGTTATTACTAGGAAAAAAATGCTCGGAATAATAATTCCTAATAATTAGTAATAACTAGGAAAAAAATCAACGAGACAGTCATGTCTCAATAGAAAACAAACTGTAATACAGTAACTAATAACAACAACAATGTCAAATATTCGTCACATTGGTATTAAGTACTTAGTAATTGTGTCAAGTGATGATACTTATTGTTTTACAAACCAACATTGTAGCAAGGTGAAGCTGTGATCAATAGGTTTCACATTTAACCGATAAGACACGTCTGAATACCGAGTGGAGCCTCGTAGTATTATTTTAAAATTACTTCATTGTTCTTCTTCCTTATCAATGTACTTGAGATATTTGGAAAAATTTCTAATTAACAAACCTGTAAGTCTGGGCTTGTGTACAATGCGTAGTTCTATTCGTGTGTCAGATTTCATATTCACGTCACCATAAAACTATAGAAAATGTTTTAACAACGAAGTTTCGATTTGAAATTCACTGATCTGAACAAAAACCGAGGAACAATGGTCTTGTTAGTTCGGATTTAAAAATCATATAAAACAATATCCATTTTTCAAAAAGTTTCGTCAAAATGTTAGTTAGGAAATAGAACAATAGCGAGATATGGCAGCTGATTGAACTGTTGCAAAAACATACTAAAAGTATAAGTAGTAAAGCTTTTATTTGCATGGTTATTGTACTATGAATTAAATCAATAATTTCCGACCCTTTTGCGCTGCCGGACTTTGCCATTGTTCTTAAATCATCGGCACACCTTCAAATTTGGACCTTATCAAAACGTTACAAAATTCAGTGTCACATACCAACATTAGAGGCTTATTTGAATTCTGAATAATGAAAATTAATAGGATTATTTTAATCAATCGTATATTTTAATTTTGAGCTTTGCTATACCATTACTTATTAATTAATACTATGATGATTTATTGACGATTTCATAAATAAAGTTATGTATGTAATTCCATTCAATTTTTAACTGTAAGAATATTAAAGTAATTTAATAATTATAGCTTCATTATTATGCACCTACCAAAAAAAAATTACATTAAAATGAAGAAAATTAAAACAATGTTTATATTTTACCGCTCACTATTGTGCCCTTCGTGTCTCGTGACACAAATTCAGGTTAATATGTTTACAGATTTATAAGTACTTTTACAAAGCTTTTGAGTCCAAACTGGGAAGGTCCGACTCCGAGTTGCAAACATCGCGTGTCGAGATTATTACTACCAAGGACACACATTGGAATACCTAACATACAAAATTATGAAATAAAATTTCATTCAGAATAGTTTTATTATTTTCCTGCATTCTTTTTTCAGGTGGCGTAGTAATTACGAAGTGGACGATTTTAAGATAAAACGGCTGAATAATGCGCAAATAACCCGGCAGTTATTGTAGACCTACTGTAACAGGTTCAATTCCTGTAAACCAGATCCCCAACCACCTACTCTTGGCTAGTTAACATCGATAATACTACGAGAACTAGGCATGGTTACCAATTGACTGAATGTGGTAATGTCCAAAGAACAATAAGAATATTTTCACTGTTCATATTAAAGTAAAATTAAAGTGAATAGTTCGTGAATAAAAATGACAAATTATTGAGACTCACCCCACGTGAATCTCGGAATAGTATGGCAGCATGATGGGGATCAAGGAAAGCGTCGGATGCCCTGTGCCGTATAGTCGGCACATGTCCTAGCGATGAGCGGCGCTTCTCAGCATCCTGAGACGTTGCCCTGCGCAGGTGAGCTCCTGTAGACAAACAAATCACATTTATTAACATATTATTGTTACAAGACTATGATATAAACTAATTGATGTACTTTCTAAAGAGTATCTAACTTCGTCTATTAAATTTTGTGAGAGCAGAGTATGTGAATCGTAAATCTTGTTTTTGTAGGTGTAACCTCAAACCCTTACGCCATTTTCCCGCGTCACTTATTTTCTTCAGACGTGTTGTCTAAGGAAAACAACGTGAAATGGTGTTGCAATAATAAGGTAAAACTGTGAAATCTGAAGACAGCTTTACGATTACTTATTTCGAACAAAGTTAGTCAAATTATAGTGTAGACCTCACATTATGTTGGATCATCAACAGCCTACTGAGCAAAGGCCTCTTCTCACACGGAGAAGGCTGAGCATTAATCACCACGTCCGCTCTGTGTGGGTTGGCGATCGCAAACTTATAATTAGAAATTATCGAAGGTTTCCTCACGATATTTTCCTTCGCCGTTTGTCAGTGGTGTCCAAATAATCTTAGAAAGTAAATATAACACGGAAAAAGTCACATTGCTTCTTGCTGTTCGTAGGTTTCGAACTCGCACCTTTATGCATGAGAAGTGGGCGTCTTAAACCTTCGGGCCACCACAGAATTTTTAGGACGACATTTGTAGAGACGGATATAACCTTTTAACTACACCCAGCGTACAAGTACCTTTTTTGTAAGCGAACGTACGAAACGAGACGATTGATTTTGTATTATTCATAAATGTTCACAACAATTAAAGTAGGTACATACTAGTAAACATTACCTTGTTGTGTCCAGTATTTGTAATGGTCATCTAAATGTTTTTGTTAGCACTTGAGACTGGCTGAGTAGCAATTAAAGAATATAAAAATGTTTGTTTGTCTAGCAAGATACTTAGACGATCGAAGTCCATAATAAAAATACACTTATATGCCAGCTTATTACATACAATAATAATATAACGCCTCGCCTACACATTTCAGTAATCAAGTCCATTCATATTGGGCGAGCCTTGCCAACTGCCATAAAGGTGACGACAAGTAAGGAAAACTTCGAATACAGAAAATAGGAATATTTTTCTTATCAGAACTTTTGATTTTTAGAACTTTATGGTTATCAAAAACCAATATACAACAAGTACCTACATGTTACAAGTCCTATCAAGAAAATCCCATTAAAACGTAAAAGAACCCACTTTACGGAACATGTACATAGTACATCACAATTTTAAGCCCTATACAAATTACTATTTACTGGAAATTCAGTACATAGATTAATCATTCATCTTATACTATAACTGACACGTAGTTTAACGAGAGGAATAGGCCTATAACAAACTAAGTACATAGGTATAGGTATATAGATCCAACAGAGACGATTTCCTTTCTCATTCAACAAATTGGCTCATACATACACATGCGCGGGATGTCATTGGCTATAGCTACGACAATATCGCAGCTAAATTATATCGGAGTCCTATATTTTCTTTACGATGCTTTGAGCCCTGTTACACACACAAAATAATGTATTAGCAAACTTATTAGTTTTAATAATATAATTATTATCCTGTTAACGTGATGTGTTTAATAATTATGCAATGCGCTGGTACCTAATCACGCAACGTCTCGTAAGTAATTATTTGATTGCATAACTTATTTCCACTGTCAAAGCTAAAGCACAAGAATAAAGCAATGTTTAAGTTAAAGACAACTTAAACATTGCCCTTCTCATATTGGATTAAATTTAAAAAGTTTAGCAAATTTATTTATGACAGTTATTCATTGTAATTTCAAATATTCTAACGAATTTTGCTCATAAGTAGAAGATATAATACTTGTAAGTATTCACAACAATCATGATCATAATTCAATATATCCGATTCACGAATACGGCTTCTATTATAAAAAGCAATACCACTTCCATCTCCGTATAGTTATTACTTAGTGCTACAAAAGACAGCAATCTTTTAAAGATATATAAACTGTCGTTAAGTTAAAAGCGCACGTAAAGTATGATGTAATATACTCTATTTAACACTACTCGAGTGCACGTTAACCTTTAATACACATAACCGCGATCCCATAAACGCGTTATAAATCTTATGAAGTTGACTTGTGCTCAATCACGCAATCGTTACCGCATCGACATTTCTGACGATTTAATAAATACATAAACTTGGTACGTTTCATCAAACATTTATGTGAAAACGATATAACATAGAATCACGCCTTTTAATTACTTAATGCCATTGTATAATGTAACACCCACTTTTCACTATTTATGTTGGGAGTCCCATGTTCCAGACTCCGTGCTACTACTAAATGAAAAAAAACCAGTAAAAGTTTGCCCGACCCGGCAGTCGCACTTGTAACCACTCGGCCAACGAGGCAGTCATGTGAAAAAGGTGTGAATTATTGAATATATTGAGAACTATAAGAGATAGAGATTAGGTATCAAAAATGCTGAATCAAAAGAACAGTAAATCCTAGTTTATTATCGAACTCACGTGGCAAGCAGAAAATATAGCATTTCATCTGCAAAATAAATGTTACTTTATTCTTTAAAAGGTCCAGCGATATAAGAGGGTCAAACAATAAACAAAGCTGGAAATGTCGCCACAAAGGTAACGTTGTGAACAGTTACTGTGCCCGCAAGGATTACACGCTGACTGTCAGTTGCCTTACTCAAGGAAACTGAGCACATAATTTATAGAACGAACTTGCTTTGTAACCAGGTACAAGACAAGGTAAATTCAAGAGAAAATACTTTTATTGTGACCTTCTTACAAAAACACTCGTATTATGAAAAAGCTCGCTTTTTAATATTTTTTCTTGACACAGTGGTTCCTTTGATATAAAATAACTCCATCAAACTGCCTTAATCTGGACATTTGAATAATGACAGTGGCTCGTTAAAATCTCTCATTGACTCTGGACCGTAGACATGTGAACCCACACTTAGCTCTTAATTGGGTCAATTTAATTAGAGCAAAATATATTGAATATAATGAGTTTTGAGTGCTAGTAGGTACACAAGTAAAATCTGGTACAAACAGAAAATTATGGAAACAAGAAGATTATAATAATATTCTAACTCGAGTTTTTCAATAACTTGGCAATATAGAAGCATAATTTAAATTCTTAATATGGCATGCAAACAATAATATATGCAAGGTACACAGTATACAGAAGTATATTATGTTTAAGAAGATGAACAAATCAAACTATATTTTATTTATGTTTGATTAATCGGAATCTTTAGATGCAAAGCTTGTGTTAACATAAATACCTACCGCTTCCTTGACACATGTATATACAAATATTAAATTCATTAGCTATGAATAAGACGCTTAAGAAAAAATATTAAAACCAACCATAAAATGTTTGGCGAAGCATATGGTTCGTTTGGAAAACCGCCAAATGTTAATATCCTTAACACAATTTGAGGTTAACGTTTGCAACAAGTCTGTATGGCTTTAAAATGAAGCAAAATCATTCGTGAGGATGCAGATTGGGAATCACGATGAGCATACATTATATTATGCAAATTGCTAAATAAGGGCAAGGCTATCATTAAAATTTTATAATTATTAAAATAGTATGTTATATATCGAATCGATAGGGAACTTTTAGCAATATATATGTCAGTTCTCAAAATATATGGCCGTATTTAACCCATATTTACTGACCAAAAACCTATAACAATCGCGTTTACGAAATAATATATTGATAAAGAGTTTTCGCGCAGGATTAGGTGCCTGACATAAGCGAACATAATACTGATTTTCGACTCATAATAAGTAGTAACAACATTGTTGCAGATATATTATCGCGCATCGAAATAATAAACTGTCCCACGATGATTGATTTTGAAGAAATAGCTCACGCGCAAGTATCCGATATACAACTGGCGTTACTCTTATCTAGGTCAGCAACTTGCAATAATTATTAAACTTAAACAATACGACGTGGCTAATTTAAATAATAAAATTTATTGCGATGTAAAATAAATTCATTTCACTATAAATATAACTTAGGTACTGAATCAATTCTGACTACATGTGTTACAACCGTAGAGTGCCTATACCTCGAAAAAGACAAATTCTGCCAGTAGTCATTATTATACGCGAACGAAATCACAATTAAACTAATATAAGGCCATATATACTAGGCAGTTTTGGAAACATCTATCTGGTTCGGTACATAATATAAGCCATCCGGAGGTACGGCTGTCACGTAAATTGGTAGTATTTTTTGGCGAGGCATCAATAGGGACACATATGTTTTTGGGCAAGGTGTTGCTTGTGTTGGATGTCAACGTGAAAAGGTTTTGCTATAGAAGTTCAGAAGTAGAAGTTTTTCAGCATAGAGAAAGTTTCACCCACTTTCATATTGACATCGTTGGTCCACTGCCAACAACTCGGGAGAGGTATAGTTATTGCCTAAGAGTAACTGATAGATTTACAAAGTGGCCGGAAGCTTTTCCGGTACAAACAATAACTGCAGACGTAGTCGATATAGCGTTATATGAAGGCTGGATTCGTCGCTTTAGTAGTCCTAAAAGGATAACAAGCGATCAAGGTCGACAATTTGAAAGCGATATTTTTCTTAATTTGACGAAAACGTGTAGGGCGACCCCGTACCACCCTGAAGTAAATGGTATGATAGAACGCTGGCACCGTACCTTAAAAGCGGCACTTATGCCTAGACTCAGTCAGGCGTCATGGAGCGACTAACTAATAACCGTGCTATTGGGACTACGAGCATCAATGCAACGAGCAGTAAACACTCAAGTACAAAATCATTGTTTGTTTATTCAGATCCTAGGACATACACCCACGTATTCATCAGAACTGATGCTGGACATCAACCATGAGTACCACCTTATGAGGGTCCTTATGAAGTACTGCAACGAAACGATACAGTCTTCACGGGGCAATTATCAAAAAGACAAAGTTAGGATTGTATGGATAGGCTTAAACACTGACTTAATACCAAAAAAATCT